AAAGAAGAAAATTAGGAAAGAAGGAAGGAAGGAAAGAAGGAAAGAAGAAAGGAAAGAAAGAAAGAGAGAGAGAGAAAGAGAAAGGAAGGAAGAGAAAGAAAGGGAGAGAGAAGGAAAGAAAGGAAGGAAGAGAGAGAGTAAGAGAGAGATTGTTCTAGAACTAGACATTAGTGAAGGCTGCACAACATTAGGACTGTGCTAAATGTCATTAATAATAAATGTTGTATTATTTGTATTTTACCACAATTTTTAAAAAGATTTTGTTTGATTGGATATAGGGTTGAAAAAATTGACGATAAGCTTCCCGGATTAGGTTCCCAGGAGGATGTGTGTGCCACTAAACCAAATAGAAAATGCCACGCACAGCTGGGTGTGGCGGCTCACGTCTGTAACCCTAGCGCGTTGGGAGGCCGAGGTAGGAAGATGGCTTAAGCCCAGGAGTTCGAGACAACAAAATGAGACCCCAGTCTCTACCAAAAAAAGAAGCCAGAAAAAGATAAGGAAGGAAGACAAAGTCATGGTGGTGCAGCTGGGTGCGAGGGGCCAGTAGGAGGACTTGGGGGGAGACACCAAAGGTCAGCAGCCTGTGTTGACTGGAGGCTCAGGGCAGAGGCCAGGGCTGGATTGTGAAGGAGGGAGGAGTGTGGATTCAGGGGAGGGGGAACGTGGAGGTGTCAAGAGGGGAGCTGGTCTCCAGGGAGGATAAGGCCAGGAGCCTGCAGAGACCAGGATGGGGTTCAGACGCTGGGAAAAGATGAAGTCGGTTCAAAGTCAGCCCTGGGGGAAAAGGAGGAGGGCTTATTAGACAGGGAGGAGATAAACCAGGGAAGAGGATGGAGAAGGTCAAGGCGGGAGGCTTAGGGGCACGATCAACAGTCAAAGGCAGGAAAGGGGTACAGGAAGCTGAGGGCCGCAAGTGTCCATTGCATTTGGCATCAGGTGGTCCTTGGTGACCCCTTAACATGAGGAACCCAACACAGGGCCTGAGGCCAGGCTGCTGGGACCGAGGCGTGTCTGAGAGGTGAGCGGGGTAGGGACAGATTGTAAAGTAACCTTTAGGGAGGTTCGACTGAGAAAGGAAACTAGAAAGGCCGGATGTGGGGGACACAAGATAAATGGCGGGGGGGGGTGTCTGTGTGTGATATTTTTTTTTCCTAAATAAAGAGTTCCCATTCATGTTTGTACAGTGAGAGAACAAAGCCAGAAGCAGGAACAGAGATTCTAGAAGGGGCGGTAGGGGAGAGGGACCTGAATGAATGTAGGAGTGGGGTCCTGGGGGTGAGGGAGGGGCTCAGAGCCCAGGTGCCTGGCTGGCCCTGATCAGCTGAGGAGCAGCGGGGTGCCCAAGTCCCCAGAGGCCTGGAGGGAATCTAAGCCCAGAGGATGGGTGGGGAGGTAGATAAACCCTCAGCCAGGCCCAGGCGGGAAGCTGGGGGAGTTTTCTCCAGATGACTTTTCTTTTTTTTCTTTGAGACAGAGTCTTGCTTTGTCACCCAGGCTGGAGTGCAGTGGCGTGATCTCTGCTCACTGCAACCTCCGCCTCCCAGGTTCAAGCAATCTCCTGCCTCAGCCTCCCGAGTAGATCAGAGTATAGACGCCCGCCACCATGCCCAGCTAATCTTTGTATTTTTAGTAGAGATGGGGTTTCACCTTGTTGATCAGGCTGGTGTCAAACTCCTACCTCAGGTGATCCACCTGCCTCAGCCTCACAAAGTGCTGGGATTACAGGCATGAGCCATCCGCCTGGCCCAGATACCTGTTTTCAATGTGAAAATACAGCAGCAGTCGGCCGGGCGCGGTGGCTCAAGCCTGTAATCCCAGCGCTTTGGGAGGCCGAGGCGGGTGGATCACGAGGTCAAGAGATCGAGACCATCCTGGTCAACATGGTGAAACCCCGTCTCTACTAAAAATACAAAAAATTAGCTGGGCATGGTGGCGCGTGCCTGTAATCCCAGCTACTCAGGAGGCTGAGGCAGGAGAATTGCCTGAACCCAGGAGACGGAGGTTGCGGTGAGCCGAGATCACGCCATTGCACTCCAGCCTGGGTAACAAGAGTGAAACTCCGTCTCAAAAAAAAAAAAAAAAAAAAAAAAAAAGAAAATACAGCAGCAGTCACCTCCTGAGTCGAGACAGTGTGATGAGGTGTGGGCTGGAGGGGAACAAAGCAGCCTGAGATGGTAGGAGGGGACAGGGCCAAGGCTGTCCCAGGAGACCAGCCGTAGAGTGGAGCAAGCTTGCAGGCCACACACTGCAAATGCTGGCCTTGCGGGGGGCCTAAGGAATGGAGACCTGGTTCCAGCCCCCCGCCCTGCTCACCCCCAGTGTTGACCCTGCTCCGTGCCTTGTGGCCTCCAGGTCTGTTTCCTTGAACGTTAAAACAAGGCAGAAGCCTGAGGAGGCAGTGAGAACCAAGTTCTGCAGTTCCAACATCTTCCCTGAAGGTACAAAGAACATTCTCTAGGAACCCCAAGGAGGGAGTGATTGATTTCCCTGTGGGGTGGCAGGGGAGGGGTGAGCACCGCGGTTGTGGGAAGCAGGATGTATCGAGTGAGAAAAAGAGGTCTGGCCCGAAGGGTGTGGTCTGGGAGGGGAGGAAGGCTGGCATGGACAAAGGGAGAGTGGGTGGGGCAGGACCCAGAGTTGGAAAGATGGGCTAGGAGTAGAGTAAATACTATTGTCATTTATCAATCGCCTTGTTCTGAGGCCGGTGAATCACCTCCCTTTATTCAGTCTCAACCTCACACCCACTCCATGCCCAGGAAGTTCTCTTGTCATCCGAATGTTACAGACGGGAAACAGCTCAAAGAGGTTGACTTGACTGAAGCCAGACAAATGGTGCAACTTCAGAGAATGGAAGTTCCAGTGCCAATGCCCAGCCCTCTGCCTCTCTCATGGACAAATCGGTTATGTCTTTTTTTCTTTTTTTTCTTTTTTTTTTTCTGAGACAAAGTCCCGCTCTGTTGCCCAGGCTGGAGTGCAGTGGTGCGATCCTGAGTAGTTGTGATTACATGCATGTGCCACCATGCCCAGCTAATTTTTTGTATTTTTAGTAGAGACAGGGTTTCACTATGTTGGCCAGGCTGGTTTTGAACTCCTGGCTTCAAGTGATCCGGACGCCTCAGCCTCCCGACGTGCAGGAATTACAGGTGTGAGCCACCATGCCTGGCAAAATCAGTTATTTCTGAGGCTCGGTGACACCATCAGTCCAGCAGGATAATTATGAACATTATGGAAATCCTGCCTCCATGGGTTGCCATGGGGATCAAATGCTCAAGGAAGCACTGCCCAGCTGAGCAGAGAAGCCTGGCAGAGCAGCTTTGCCCCTGTCCAACTAGCCCTCCCCAGCCTGGGGCCACCGCCCAGAGGCTTGACTCCCCAGCTAGCCTGGCCCGGGCACTGCACCTCCAAAGAGCCATGCAAGTTGCCTACAACCCAGTCACCTCCATTCTTTGTCAATTGCAGTGACTTCTGACAAGGAAAGAGTGTTCTGTGGGTTCTCCGTCTACTCACAGCCCCAGGACCCAACTGAGCCCCTCATTTACGTGGTCCCAGATAAAGCAGAACAAAACCTCTCTCATCTCAAGACAAAGGTTCAGAATCAGCTGAAGATTGGAGGATAAACCAGGCTACAAAGATAGGCAGCACCACCCTTCCCTTTGTGCAAGCACAAAATATTACATATATATGATTGTAGCCTCACAGGTAAATGGAAAATGAGCTCTATTTTTTTTACTCCTAAATGATAAAAAGCACACTCTCCATGGAACGGTAGGGGAGGATATGGCCAGGAGCCTGCAGAGACCAGGATGGGTTCAGACCCTAAGGGAGCTTTTTATCATTTCCATGGAAAGTGCGCTTTTTATCGTTTAGGAGTAAAAAAGGAGCAACAATTTAAACTAGGATCTGTCTTCATATGTCTAACCAATCAGTTATATCTCATTTGCAAATAAAAGCAATTGGAGAAAGCTTAGGATATGCAAATAAGCAATTATGGTAAAACAACAAAAAACTAATTATGGAATTGCTCATTAAAAAAAAAAAAATCACCTTCCCATCCCCGAAAAACAATGCACTGGAATCCAGAAAATGTGAGGCCAGAAAATTAGCTGGGTGTGGCGGTACACGCTACTCAGGAGGCTGAGACAGGAGAATTGCTTGAACCCAAGAGGCAGAGGTTGCATCGACCTGAAATCGCACCATTGCACTCCAGCCTGGGAGACAAAGACTCTGTCTCCAAAAAAAAGCAAGAAAAGAAAGAAAATGTGTGTCACTTATATTTGTGGTTTTTGCCATTTTTTAAAGTAATGGCAAAAACCACAATTACTTTGCATCAACCTAATATATTTTTAGACTAGTCAAGTGTAGTAGTGAGAACAGAGAAAAGAACATGGAGTTTGATCTGTAGCTGACTAGAGGATTCATCAAGATAACTCAGTACCTTCAAACCAGACAAGGAAACGTATGCCACTTCTAAAATACACTGACCAGAACTTGGCTTAGATCTAAGCCTTTCTTAAAATGCCCATACGGGATTAACTTTAATTCTCAATTGGAATATTTTCCTTAATTGTTAGAAATATCAAATCCCAACAGTTTTGTTTGCTTCTTTGTTTGTTTTTTTGAGACAAGAGTTCTGCTCTTGTTGCCCGGGCTGGAATGCAGTGGTGCAATCTCGGCTCACTGCAACCTCTGCCTCCCAGGTTCAAGCGATTCTCCAGCCTAAACCTCCAGAGTAGTTGGGATTACAGGCACCCACCACCACACCTGACTAATTTTTATATTTTTAGTAGAGGTGGCGTTTCACCATGTTGGCCAGGCTGGTATCAAACTCCTGACCTCCAGTGATCCGCCCGCCTGGGCCTCCCAAAGTGCTGGGATTACAGGCGTGAGCCACCGCACCCGGCCAAACCCCAACAATTTGATGTGCATTTTAGGCATCACGAAAGAGACAGGAGGAAGCCAGGTAGGAACATTTGTTACAGTAGAAACATCAAACTTACAATTTTCTTGACCCTCAAGGCTTGAACCTGGAAGAGACAGAAGAAACATGTTGATTCCAGAAGCTTCGACTCTCATGGAGTTAAAATGATGTGGATAGAGAGTAAACACTCACAGAGCAGAAGGGCCAGCAGGACTCCAAGCCACATTGTGGCCCCGCGGGCCCACCTCGGCTGCATCCTGAGAGTGAAGGCTGCAGGCAGTTAGTTCTGCCTTCGGGCCATGCCTTGCTCAACAGAAGGCACTGCCCACAGGTCGCCGTTGAGAAACCCGCCCTGTGAAAAGCAGAAACCACTCTGGTCACTTCTCCGGGCGCCTGCAGAGAGACCAGCTGTGGCGCTGATCAGGTAATGGCAGCCATGGCTGGAAGCCGGGAACAATGGGGCCTGGGCTGGCCTGTTATCTCCTCAGGAAATGACTGGTCTTCCTGAGGGGCCACCTAACGCAGCTGCTTTGTTTCTTTAGGGAAAAAACGAGGCACGAGTGACATTTGCCTTGGGTTCTTGATCCTCCCTCTGTCTCGCCTGGGTTTGGGGCCCCTTCTCACGGCACGGTGAAGGGGTTCCTCCCTGGTTCCAGCCTGCACCCAAAGGACTTCTCTCCCAGGACATCCAGAAAGATCCCTCTGCTTTTCCTGTCCTCCCCTTCCCCCACCACAGAGGGCTTTTTCCATACAGCATAAATCTGGGCCTCCTGACTTTCTTGGGCTGACTTTTCCTCAAAATTGCAGCGTTTGTCAGAGAGACCTGCTGCTGGGGCAGGCTGAGCTTGGCACGCAGTGATACTGAGGTGGGAGAATAGCAGAGGACGTAGGGGGCGAAGGGGACCCTTGGGGGTAGGCTACCTTAAGCAATAGCAAAAGCAGAAGATGTATGACTGTGGAAGCAGAACACACAAAATAAGGGAGTAAGGAGTAAGAATAGAATTAACTTCTTCCATGGCAATTAGAAGTGACATGTTCACCCAATATGGTACCCTTTAGAACATGGCTTCAGGCCTCAAAATACACTATTCCTACCCCTTCAAGCCTAAAAATACATGATTCCTACTCCTTTTGAAAGAAAATGCCGGGCCAGGTGTGGTGGCATGCCCCTGTAATCCCAGCCATTCAGGAGGCTGAGGCAGGAGAATGGCTTGAACCCAGGAGGCAGAAGGTTGCAGTGAGCCAAGGTCATGCCATCGCATTCCAGCCGAAGCAACAGTAGCTGTAATCCCAGCTACTCGGGAGGCTGAGGCAGGAGAATCGCTTCAACCCCGGAGGCAGAGGATGCCATGAGCCAAGATCACGCCACTGCCCTCCAGCCTGGGCAACAACCTGAGACTCCATCAAAAAAATGAGAGAAAGAGAGAGAGAGAGAAAGAAAAAGAAGGAAGGAAAGAAGGAAGGAAGGTAGGTTAAGGCTCAATACGAGAAAGGTAAGGGACATTAAGCAAGTGAGGCAAAACATGCAAAAGGCCATGAACTGTAACAAACAGGCACTAATAACTACTCACAGGTCAGCCCACTCGCCCCTCTCCAAGAGCGTCACTGTGCTTAATAAATCTTTTGCTTAGCACACTGGTTAGGTGAAAAAAAGTTTAAAAAAGAAAATAAAAATTTCAAAATAAATCTTTTCTGCTTTGCTATTTGTATGTGTGTCATGTTCAATTCTTTGTTTGTGGCACCAAGAGCCTGGAACTGCGCAGCACCATCCGGTAACAGAACTAGGAAGCTCTCCCCAGCCTTTGGTGTGGATGACACAGGCAGCCCTGTGAGAGGGCCCCCTCCGGCCCGCACCCCTACACACATGCGTACTCTACTGGGTCGCTACGTGGGAGCTATCTAAGATATATCTCGTCTCTGTTTGAGATGAGAAAATATCAATTTACAGCCCGCCCTAATACAACCTTTGCTTACCTTTCAAGCCTGGTCTCTCACCACTTTCTTCTTTGCACCTACGTTCTGGTTGCTAGAATTCCCAGTTCCCAGCACTCTTCATCTGTCCGTGCCTTTGTCGGGGTTCTCCCCTGCTTGGAATGCCCTCTCCACTTCTTTCCAAGCAAATTCCTACCCATCCTTCCTAACTCAGTTCAGACATTTCTCCAGAATTTTCCCTTGTCTTCCCCAGACTGAGCTGCCCTTCCTCTGCACCCCCTCACCTCCCTGGTTTTCCCTCTGTCTGACATTTTTTTTTTTTTTTTTGAGATGGAGTCTGGCTCTGTCGCCCAGGCTGGAGTGCAGTGGTGCGATCTTGGCTCACTGCAACCTCCATCTCAAGGGTTCAAGTGATTTTCCTACCTCAGCCTCCCAAGTACCTAGGGTTACAGGCATGCACCACTATGCCTGGCTAATTTTGTAGTTTTTGTAGAGATGGGATTTCACCATGTTGGCCAGGCTGGTCTCAGACTCCTGACCTCAGGTGATCTGCCCGCCTCGGCCTCCCAAAGTGCTGGGATTACAGGCGTGAGCCACTGCCATGCCCAGCTGTCGTACACTTTTATTATACAATGTGTCATAATGGCCTATCCTCCCTCAAATGGACTCAGAGCTCTTTGATGGCAGGCACAGTGCCTGGAATCTAACTGATGATCAAAAAGCATTAGTGCAATGGATGATTGTCTAGATGAATGAAGACAAGCTACTGTATTGTCTGAATCAGATAATCACTGCCTTGAGGGTGCCAGGTTGTTTCTGAAATGCCACCCTCTGGGACTTCCCCATAGTAAAGCTAAGGCAGATACAAACTGGCCACAATCAAAACCAGATTCCCCAACCTCAGGGCAAGAACCAAGAAGTAATGGCTTCTAGCTAGAAAACAATTCCTCTCGGACCTAGGATTCAGTGGAAGTTTTGATAAAAGCCTTGAACAGCAATACACACTTTACCCATTTCTTTTCTTTTTTTTTTTTTTTTGAGAAGGAGTCTCACCCTGTCGTCCAGGCTGGAGTGCAGTGGCGCAATCTCAGCTCACTGCAACCTCTGCCTCCCTGGTTCAAGCGTTTCTCCTGCCTCAGCCTCCCAAGTAGCTGGGATTGCTAGTGTGTACCACCAAGCCCAGCTAATTAGTCATGAGAAAAACTGCTAACTGGAAAAAATGTTTGCAAGTCACATCATAGACAAAGAGCTCACCTCCCTAGCATGTAAAGAATACTCATACATTAAGAAGGAAAAGATCAGGACTCTCTCTAAGCCTACTCTGGCTTGGGGCAAAGAATATGACCAGATAGTTCCATAACGCAAGAAAAAGTATTTGAAATTGGAAACAGGCAAAAATGATGACTGCATGCCTGCCCAGGGTTTACCTGACTCTCTAAGGGTACTAACCTTTGTTTGATTTGCTATTTACAGTAGACTAGGGTCCTTTACAATCAGTAGGGGAGGTAAACAGTAACTTCTAAAAAGTCAATAACGAGGCAAAGGATTCTTACTTTAGTGGCAGAGTGGTGGGTGGCAGAAACTGAGCAGTTGGGGGCTCTTCTTTGTAAAGTTTTCTGTACTTTTGGTTTTTAAATCATGTGACTGTATTATCCTTTAACTTTTTTTTTTTTTTGAGATGGAGTCTCACACTGTCGCCCAGGCTGGAGTGCAGTGGCATGATCTCAGCTCACTGCAACCTCCACCTCCAGTGTTCAGGCGATTCTCATGCCTCAGCCTCCCAAGTAGCTGGGTCTACAGGCACATGCCACCATGCCCAGCTAATTTTTGTATTTTTAGTGGAGATGGGGTTTCACCATGTTGGCCAGACTGGTCTTGAACTCCTGATCTCAGGTGATCTGCCCACCTCAGCCTCCCAAAGTGCTGGGATTACACGCATAAGTCACTGCACCCAGCAGCACTACCCTTTAAAACTGTAATTAAGAAATTGAGCCGGGCGCGGTGGCTCACGCCTGTAATCCCAGCACTTTGGGAGGCCGATGCGGGTGGATCATGAAGTCAAGAGATCGAGACCATCCTGGTCAACATGGTGAAACCCTGTCTCTACTAAAAATACAAAAAATCAGCTGGGCATGGTGGCATGTGCCTGTAATCCCAGCTACTCGGGAGGCTGAGGGAGGAGAATTGCCTGAACCCAGGAGGCGGAGGGTGCGGTGAGCCGAGATGGCGCCATTGCACTCCAGCCTGGGTAACGAGAGCAAAACTCCGTCTAAAAAAAAAAAAAAAAAGAAATTGAATTTCTGTTCAGCTTTATGAAGTATTATATAATTGACATACAATAAGCTGCAAACGTGTAAAGGATACACTTAGAAAAGTGTTGACGTGTATACCCATGAAAAGACCTCCACAATCAAGGAAGTAGACACATCCACCACCTCCAAAAGGTTCCTGTGCCCTTTGTCTCCCTCGCCCTCTGCACCCTCTTCCCCAAACACCAACCCCACTGCCAGGATTTATCTGCTTTCTGATTAGTTTGCATGCTCTGGAATTTTGTATAGATTCACAGTATGTACCTTTTATTATTATTATTATCATTATTTTTGGTCTGCTTTCAATCTGTGTGATTATTTTGAGATTCCTCCATGTTGTCATGGTGGGTGTATCAATATTTCATTCCTTTTTACTGCTGAGTGGCATTCCATGAATACACCAGTTTATTTATTCATTCACCTTTTTTTTTTTTTAAGACAGGGTTTCACCATGTTGGTCAGGCTGGTCTTGAACTCCAAACCTCAGGTGATCTGCCCGCCTTGGCCTCCAAAGTGCTTGGATTACAGGCGTGAGCCACCACATCTGGCCCTTTTTTTTTTAGATGGAGTTTTGCTCATTGCCCAGGCTGGAACGCAACCGCGCAATATCGGCTCACCGCAACCTCTGCCTCCCAGGTTCAAGCACTTCTCCTGTCTCAGCCTCCCAAGTAGCTGGGATTACAGGCATGTGCCACCATACCCGGCTAATTTTGTATTTTTAGTAGAGACAGGGTTTCTCCATTTTGATCAGGCTGGTCTCAAACTCCTGACCTCAGGTGATCCGCCCACCTCAGCCTCCCAAAGTGCTGGGATTACAGGCGTGAGCCACTGTGCCTGACTCATTCAGCTATTATTTTTTATAATTTTTTTTTTTTTTTAAGAGACAAGGTTTTGCTTGTTACTCAGGCTGGTCTTGAACTCCTGGCCTCAAGCCATCCTCCTGCCTCAGCCTCCCAAAACCCTGGGATTACAGGCATGAGCCACCAAACCTAGCCTCTCCATTTACCTATAGATGGACATTTAGGCTGTTTCCAATCTTGGACTGATACAGATCGAGCTGCTACGAACAAACCTTTGTATGGACATATATTTTAATTTTCCTTGGTAAATACATGAAGCAGCTGCATTATACAGTAGGCATGTGTATGTTTAACATTTTAAGAAACTGTTTTCCCAACTGGTTATGCCATTTTGCATTCCCACCAGCAGTGTGTGAGTCCCAGCCATTCCACACCCTCACCAACGCTTGGCAGGCCTTTAATTTTAGCCATTCTAGCGGGGGTGTAGTGAATATCTTATTATGATTGCAATTCATTTTCTTATTGACTAACAATATTGAGCATGTTTTTACATGCTTATTTGTCATCTATGTATCAGCTAACATTATTTATTTATTCATTTATTTATTTGAGACAGGTTCTTCCGGTGTTGCCCAGGCTGGAGTGCATTGGCAAGATCTCTGCTCGCTACAACCTCTGCCTTTGGGCTCAAGCAATTTT